TGTTGAAATTTGATCGGAGCTTACGTCGTTCGATTTGTGACCAAAATAATCGTTATTCGGCCGTCTAATCTCCACAGTATCGAACTATGTGACCGGAGACGACGAAATGTTATTTGTGACCAGAAATCTCGCTGCTTATGCCGTCTGTTTGGTCCACAATCGAAATCGTCTGGGGATGAAACAGAATCTGTATATTAAGGAGGTGATTTGTTATATTAGGAAATCTTAACTGTACGCTGAAATCAAGGAACGGAATTAATTAGATTAATTGTTAAATATAATTAATTAAATCCTTGAAAAACCTGAGTTTTGAAAATCTAAACCATGTGGACTGATTTTTGATTTCGTGAAAATAAATGCCTGATCGATGCATTTTTCCCCAATGTTTAATGTATAGAATGGGCGCTGCAACCCAATTTCGTTGAGGCTTTAATGCTATCTAGACTTTGTAGTCAGTCGAGTTCAGTTGGCCCGCTCTAAAACATAAGAGGCCAACGTGGGTTGGATCGGCCCTTGCTAATTAGTTACTTTCATTAATAACGTCAAATATTTCTTTCCGCATTTTTCCACCTCTCCAATATTTGATGAAGATTAAAATCAAACTTTTAATAGATTTGATAAAAATGAATAAAATTTACGGTTAAAAATTATGAAACTCATGAAATATATAATTAAAATTTATTTTTAATTTTGACTTCAGATATTTATCAACTTTTAATCTACACCAAGGACTTGATGGGACAAGGACGAACAAAAGATCAAGATTATTTTCTTGATTTTACTAATTATTAATATTTATGCTAGTGGGGAGTCCTTTACGAAAACTAGGAATTTTATATATTGAGATTAATTTTTCTAAAGTGGCTAGCATCTTGTTTGAGCTTCATTTTTCATAAAAATGAGGTTAGTAATAATGATTTTTTGGAGAATGCGTGGTATAAAAGTAAGAATTTTTTTTGAATTTACGTATAAAATTATTTTTATTGAGAGAATGTGTGGTTAAAAATAAGTTTGAAAAGAAAATAAGTTTTATATAATGGAGCTCAAAGCCACAAACATGGGCTAGATTATTTTCAAAATTTTCAATTATTTGCAAAATTATTGAACTTTTGGTATCTAAAACATCATAACTCGAATTTAACCTACGACATTAACTTCACTACAGACATTCTTAATCCCATCAGGAATAATGCCTTACATTGCTCTTATTTATTCCTAATTAATTAAAACTGAATATGAGATGAAACTAGCCGGGACACACATCTTCAAGGAGCTCCTCCACCACCACTGCCTCCTTCACCAAATCCTGCCCATCCTTACCTCCTAAGCCAATATTGCCACCACCTCCTCCTCCTTGCAAACCACCTCCTGGCCCCACCTCCAATACCCAACCTTCCACCACTTGCACCACACCAAAGCCTCCACCTATATCCTATCCACGGCCAACACCAATGTCAATTCCGCCACCAAAACCACCCCCTCCTCCAGCACCAGCTCCAATGTCAATGCCTCCTTTGGTGCCAATGCCATTGCCATCAAATGCACCGCCATTATCGTCTCCCTCACCACCAAGATCGACTGGACGAACCGTTTTGAATGATAACTCTCTAGCATTAACAGTGTTAAGAGTATACAAAAACACCAAAATGAGAAACTTAGGAGACATTTTGGACCAATACTGGAATTAATGTTTGCATGGAATGAAAACAAGGCTATATGGGATTATATAGAGGTTCACTCATTCACTAGAGTCCCGTTTACCATAAGCAAATTTGCAAGGTTTTTAAATGACACTGAGGTTCATACAAGCATCTAAAAATCTTGCATTGGGAAATGTCAATTCTTACTTGTTTAATTTAAAAATTCAAACTGTATTAGATGAAAAAGAGGAGCTCCACAATAACTCAACATCTTATTTCGTAGAGTAATACTATTAGCCCCAATCTATGTGACGATAATGTGGTATCAAATGATAAGTATAATTAAATGAGTCATTTAATTTCACTATTCAATTAGCCTATCACCTAACATCATATAAACTGGAGTTATAATTCCAGTACGGCTAAATAGCATTACTCTATTTCGTAAGCATAATAAGGGTTGTTTGGCGGGACTTTTGAACATATTTGAATAAATTTGAGATAGTGTTTTATTTTGCTAGAAGAACTTTTTGAAGAAGCTATGGATAAAATGTAGGTATATGAGAAAGGGTTTAGCTAATGTAGATATTAACCGTTTCAGAAATAGCAACGAGTAAACTGTGTCAAACTAAGACCAGTCAATATCGAACATAATAAATTTGAACTGCTAATAAAATAGTTTCTGGTGTGAAATGAAATTCATAAGATATATGAGAAGTTCAAAGGAAAATAGTAACAAGATAGTGAACATTAGTGAACAGAGATCAATTAGATTGTGCTTTAGAAAATGTGAGTAACATGCATGGCTTGAGAATCTAGAGGATGACCCATCTTAACTTGCCAGCAACTTAAATTATTATTTAGCATTGAGTAGAAGGTTGGAATTGAAAATATAACTACTTCTTTTATCCAGGAAATTCACCACCAGGCTGGTCACCATCTCCGCCTCCAGGTCAGGAGCGAATTCAGGGCTCGAGTTCAGCTAGGGATTACGGCCAACATTGAACGCTTATGGTCAAAGGTCAACGTCTGTGATAGCAGAGTTGTTTATTAATATTTAATTAAATAATATTCAAAAAATCGTACGGACTAGAACTAGAAACTAAATACACCACTAGAACTAGGTAGCAACTTTCATTTCAGATGAAAAAATCGTTATATAATCTGAAAAATGTTCTAATTTATTTTTCAATCAAACATGCAATATGCAATATATATTAACAAAATATCAATATTCAGTTTACAATTAAAGTTAATTAAACAACCATTATTATGTTAACAAAGTTGAACTATATTTATGTGCTTATACCAATTTTATGTGCTTGTGTGATTTCACTTTTCCGCAATCGATTTTTTTGTGAAAGAAAAGTGGAACGTTTTATTAATTAAATAAGTTTTGTTGAAAGTCTCCTTATGATACTAAGACCAATTTTTTTTTTACAAATTCATTCGTCATTAATTGACGAAACTCTCAAATACATTGATTAAAGAAGAAAAAACAATCAAGAAGAGGGACAAATCACCGGTTAAAATGTTTCTGTTTGCATTAAAACCAGTAAAAAATGAACATATATTATTTTGTTTCCTTAAGTGTGACAAATTAATGCTTGCCATGATAGTAAATCTATCAATATACTTTAGCAAAGGTCACGGGTACAAATCCACTTTGCACTTGTTTTTGGTAAAAATTGTTTACAAAAATTACACAACATATTGGCATTGGAAAGTTTCGAACCCGAGACCTCTAGTTTAACAAGGATGATTGTTAATAAAATGAATTATCCGATATATAATATAAATATTTTATCTATTCTAAAAAAAAAAATTTCTTCTAGATGGATCCAGCTAGGGCGGCCGCCCTAGCTCGCCACCCCCTAGATCCTCCCCTGTTCCAGGTCATCCACCAAATCTGTCACTAGATCCTCCTCCAAATCCGTTACTTGGTCCTCCACCAAAGCTGCCACCAGGAGGTCCTCCCCCACAGACGCCACTACGAGGTCCTCCCTCAAAGCCGCCACCCGGAGGTCCTCCTACTCCACCACTAGGCCCTCCACCAAATCCACGTCCAGGAACTCCGCCAAATCCACCATCAGGTCCTCCACCAAATCCACCTCCAGGTCCTCCGACACCAACACCAGGCCGTCCACCAAATCCACCACCAGGTCCTCAGCCAAATCCACCTCTAGGTCCTCCACCTAATTCGCCTCCAGGTCCTCCACCAAATCCAGCACCAGGCCCTCCACCTCCTAATCCACCACCAAAACCCCCCCTCCTCCTCCACCACCACCACCTGATCCCCCGCCAACATGTCCCCTGTGGTGGCGAAAGAAGTGTTTTTCATCAACGAAAGAACCCTCTAAGCCAGTGTTTTTCATCAACGAAAGAACCATCTAAATTCTAAAACAATGTAAAACTGGAAAATAACTAACTCAATAAATATCTGCAGTATGTTAACAGTCATTCAAACTATTCTAACGTTTACTTGAGAGACTCTTAGGATCATGAAACTCCTCATTCCTTGCTGATCAGTTATTCCAGCACCAGAAGACTCATTCCTTGTTGATCAGATACCAGACTCAATCTGTTTGACTAGCTCTTCTTCAACACTCAGCAAACAAGAACACCAAGGAGAACAGGAGAAAAAACTTAATCGAACTCATTTATAGGGCTGGGCAAAATATCCGAACCGAACCGGAACCGAACCGAACCGAGCGGGTTTTTTAAAATGAAATACCCGAACGGGTATCCGAATCGAGAATCAAATGGTTTGGTTCGATTCTCGGTTCTAGACCCAGAACCGAAAAATCGAATAAGAACCGAATTTTTTTTAATATTGGATAAATCAATTTCTTTTATTTTT